ATGATCTCTTGTGAGACTTGTTGTAATTAATGAGGGAGACAATTGCTATACACATATGCAGGGGAAAAGACACAATAATAGCAACACCTGCAAAGTGTAATGCAATATAATTATCTGCACAGTAAATTGTAAAGCTTATCATTTTTATAGGGGCTGTCACCTTGATGTTTCAACTCATAGTTTGTTGTCTTATATTGGATTTTATTACCACAAAGTGTTTTTTGTTATTTAAATCATTTTATATATAATATATAACTCATAAGTGTCACAGAGGACTCAACGTGGCAGAGCTTCGACACATCCCCTCACAGTGCTTCCTGATCAATGCCGCTGTAAAGAAAAATCACTTTCTCCGTCTGGTATTTTCATCAAGAGGTGATGTCCCTCTAATAGTTTTGTGGACCTGTTTGTTGTGACTGTACCACAGAGGATTCACTTTCTCCAAACCGTGTCAAATAAATCTAACCCTGTATAATTACCTCCTGGCAGTGAGTTCCTCTGTTAACAGAAAGGCATAGTTAACAGAGTTCTATGTTGAGTGTTTTGTCTTCCTTTGCTTAAAGAAGTAGTTTGACATTTTGCGGAATATGCTTATTGGCTTTCTTACCGAGCGTTAGATGAGAAGATTGATACCGCTGTCATCCCTGTCTGTTTAATGGGAAAGTGCTCGCTTGTAGTGATGAACCCCTCAGAGAATTATCACGGCACTCTGCAGTTCCCTTCAGCTCTATGGTGTATAGCATTAACTCATTGTTGTGGCTTTTTGATCCACAACTTTGCTATTATAGTTACAATTATTATATATCAATTTAAATATTGATATATGTAATTATCAGTATGTATGTAACTAGCTAATGAATATAGATTTAAAAAATCTGATATTGCAGGTTTAAAAATAAAGCTACAATCAGGAGACAGTTAGCCTAACTTAGCATAAAGACTAAGTTACCTAAAGTAACACAAAACACCTACCAGCTCCTCTAGGCTTACAAACTATAGTTTTTTATATGGCATGTTTAATCTGTATTAAAACCAGTGTGTGTTTTTCCTGGTGGTTATATGCTGGACTCTTGGCACAGCGCTTATTTAGCACACTGAAACAACCGATCAATCTTCTTATCTAATTCTCTGCAAGGAAAAATCCGAGCCAAAATGCAAACTATTCCTTTAAATGTCTAAAGCAATTTTCATCTCTGCGCTAAGTGACTGTACAAGGGATGAAGTAGAACTCTCACAATCGGCCCACAAACTATTCCTCCAACAGTCATTTTGAAACTTCCCTTTAATGAACGGTTTTCTGTGATTTTCTGTCTTGTCTTGAATTGTTTACCTGCTCCTGAATTGTGCATTGCTTTGTAAACACACATTATCTTGCTGAGCTTGCAAGCTCATGAGACATTAAGCTGCCTTATTTTCCCTTTTTCTTTTTAAGACAGTCCTTTTCGCATAGATGCTGGAAAAATGGTGTGTGATGTACTCTTCAACACGCCTGACAGATCAGTCATTCCGCTTTCCTCTCCACCTTTGTGAGAAGTATTTAGCTGTCCATTCTGTGTTGTATGCTCAGCATTCACTGTCATCTTTCCCCTTTTCCACAGCACTCATTTTATTTTGCAGCAGAAGGGATATCGACTATACTGAGCAATGGTGACATTGTTATAGCCTCACTGAGGGCCTAATAATAAGAACATTAGTGCACCATCTATTGGAATTTGTTAACTGGCATGAGACATTTCAGGTCAACAAATTAAGCAACAAAATTATCTCACTTACAGATTTGTGGGTCAGATTGAAGTGTTTGACAGGCCGGCTCTGGCGCACATCCTGTGGTCCTAGTTTAACCATGCTTTCTCTAAATGATACACGACGCAGCAGTCTATGAGAGCAAGAGGTTGCAGGTTTGCAGGCCTGTGCCTATAAACAGTTTCAGAGTCCTGAGGCATGATGCCAAAGGCTTGCAGATTGTGTACGTTGCTGTGGATAAGAATATCTGCTAAAAGCCCGGTTTGTACCCAATTTAAATAATGTTTAGTCATGGAAAACACTTTTACCATTGATCTGCATCTTTTTGTGCTTATTTGCAATGATACAGAGTCACACAGCCCTGTGGCAATACAGCCTGCAGTAAACAGGCCGGTCAAGGTCTGAAACTAGAATTCTTTGTATTGCATTGTCCTCCAAAGGTTTTTCAGCGGTGCAAATTTAGATGAGAAATACCAAGTGAGAGAGAGAGTGGGAGATGAAGGCAAGGTGCAGAGAAAGATGAGGTTTATATCGATGGTCCGCTACTGAACGGCCTCTGTGGTCCCCCTCCTTCTCCCTGCCTCCTGGGATTGAGGACAAACATTCTCCTGGTGACATGAATCATGGATGAAGGTGTATGTGTGTGAAAGTGCCGCGTGCATGCACAGAGATACAGTATTTCAGGATATCCTGTTCCTTTAAATCTGCGTCTGTAAGTGTGATAGTGTGTGCTACCTGCATTCCAAATACCACACACACTCCCATGGATATCTCCTATATGGCTCTGTTGCCATGCTCTGCTCTCTTCCCACCAGCCCCCTTCCGTCTCTCCCTTTCTGCTTCATCAATCACTTAAGCTCTCCCACTGCTCACAGCAAAGCTGGACCTATTAGGCTTTCTAATTGAGCCAATTAGCAATTAAACACTCAGATGCACCCCGAAATTCTGGAGGTCCCTTCAGGCACACTGACGCCTGCCAGGGCCTTGGATTTTTACCAAGGATTCTGGCTCGTGTGGGCCTCTGCTGCCCTCTGCGCCTACCCGAACTTGAGGTGCGAGCCCCCCTCCCCTGGCCTTTTGAATGTGGGTCTATTAGATGTCCACTTCTCTGACAGACTCTAGGGTCAGTGAAGCAGCGCCTCTCGTCGTTTTTGCTCAAGGACTCTGAAGGGTCTCTGCTGACCAGAGAGAAGCTTTTCATTAACACCAAGACCTGTTTCCTCTCCATCTGAATTCTCACTTTTCATCTCTCATTTGTGTCTCGCTATCTCTGCTCCTTTTTCCCCCCACTCTCTCTTCAACTCTGCCTCTTTATCTCCAAGTCTCTTTTATGTGTTTTGGAGGATGAAAGTTAAATGGTAGATGTTGGTGTGTGTGTGTGTGTGTGTGTGTGTGTGTGTGTGTGTGTGTGTGTGGGTGTGTGGGTGTGTGGGTGGGTGGGTGGAGGGCTCGTCCCTGCGTGCAGTGCAAAGCAGGCCAGCCTCCAGACTCTCCATGGTTTAATTAGAGCGCACATCGTGCTGCCCGCTTCACCGTGAGAGGATACGCTCCCAGATGCACACATGGACGCGTGGGCAGAACAACAAAGTCCACACTGAGAGGAACAAAGGCAGATACCGAATATATTTAGGCTGAACGCACTGTACCAAAAGAAGACAATGAGCAATTGCAGACGCTATGGACTCGCCCGCAATTAGCGCTCTGTGGAAGAACACAAACCTGTTTTAACCACAGTTTTTTTCCCCATAAGCTGGAGTATATGCTCCCCTGAAAGAGCGTGATGTACATAAGGAACTTTATTATTACATGAATGAGCTTCCTTATTGCATGTCTCACATCAGTGTGAGTGAGACTACTCATCTGCTCATCAGCCTATATACTCTAATTATCTGCAGTCTTGCCTCAGGACACTCAACTCCCATACTTTCAAATTCAAATGGCTTCATTGGCAGTGGGAGAGGGGAAAAAAGACAACAAAAACACAGAGGCGCTTCAGTGGGTGCAGGCGATGCAATAATACGGTTAATGATGACTTTAAATGGGACAATTATGGCATGGTGATAAAGCAAGAGAGAGCGTGAAAGAGAGAAGGAGGTAATGGTGAATTTTAAAAATCAGATAAGACTGAAATAGAGTGTGTGTGTATGTGTGTGTGAACATAAAAGAGATTTCTCAGTTTTTCCTGTACTGTCTTCATTACTGCTATGGATGTGTGTCCCCTACCATTACATAACGCCACCCAACAATGTTATGACTGTATAATCTCCTCCATGCCTCATGCATTTCTGACTGGGTCTGTTACATGAGGATTTGCACATTTGCTCAGTAGATTACATGAATGAGTGTACAGTGTGTGTGCACCCATTCATGTGTGGGTCATTGAAGGCTTACTGCGTGTGCATGTGTGTGCCTTTGTGCTCTGCATGTAGCCCGGAAGTGTCCCGGGCTGTCATAAGCTGCTTACAGGCGCACATTACTGACCTTTGGCCTTACTGGGCAGTGAAAGGCTCACCCTAATCTCTGCCCTCTACTCTTGGTCTGCGTGTTCTATTGTACCGTACCCGAACCAGCAGTGAAACCTTAAAGAAATGAATAAGCAGAAATATAGAGGCGTCAGTAGCAGTGTTGTTAAGAGGAAGACTTGACGTAGTGGCGTGACTACATCAGCTGCACTACATTAGCTTGCCGCAGAGATGTAAGCATGTGAGGAGTAAGCTGGCAGGTTAAACACAGTTCACCAGGAGGGATTTGGTGCATGTCCACATACAGGTCAGACCAGGACAGCGCGAACAAGTCCAATTTAGGGTTTTCATCCATTAAAAATGAGGAGAGTCATGTAGAAATGTTTGCTCAACATGGAGTGCACATGAGAGTTCTGTAGATTAAGTTGCAAAAAACAGAGCAAGTAAAATGTCATTACATGGACTGCATTTTTTTTTCGTCTAAACGCTGGAGAACTGCATGTTTCTCGCTGTGATGTAATCAAGTGAAGCGAAACACGTTGATCACCACATGAAATCGCTTTATTTCCACTGTTTTCATTACAGGAAATGTTTTTTGCTTGGCAACAGTTGAAGGGAAAAAGTGTTGCACCGACAACATTAAATGGAATATATTTCTGTTTCAGATAAGCTATAATCTCTCTTATCTTTCTCTCTCCCTCACCCCCCTTTGCCTCCTTCTCTCTTTTTCTGCTTTTCTCTCCACGTATCGCTGTCCTTTAAATCTCTTCCTTCCTCCTCTGTCTCATTCTGCAGAATTCGGCAGCTGTTCAAATCAAATGATCTGGATTACAGAAGACCAATAGGGATGGAACGGAACAGAACCATGGCTGGGGAAGTGTTTCGGATCACCGTTGCTCAGAATCAACACTGACCTGGCAGCCACACCGAGGTCCGACCTCCTTCTCCGGCACCCCAAGGACCCTTCTTTACCCCAACAACTGCTTTGCCCTCCATCTCACCTTCACTCAGCACTCCTGTTGTGGATCAAACCTCCAAAAAAGCTACTAGTCTTTCAGGGTCTGCCTGCTTTTGTTGTTTTAATCCCCCTCTTATGCTTTACCTTCCAGACTGTTGGTTATAATCCACATTCTCTCATAAAAAGACAGAAGTATTCCAGAACAGACTAGAAGCAGGTGGCTGAACAGTATGAATCCAGTCATGTACCCCCTTCCACTTGCTCTAAGCAAACAAAGTCGGCGGGGTTTGTTGTCCAAGACACGCCCCCTTAGTCTCATGACAGACTGGTGCCTAATGGGTGTGCTAGGCCTTATCCTGCTCCTCAGCCTGGCCTCGAGCCAGAAGATAGACCCTTCCAAACACCCCATAGTCACCACCAACTATGGTAAGCTCAGAGGCATCAAGAAAGACTTGAACAATGAAATCCTGGGCCCTGTAGAGCAGTACCTGGGCGTCCCCTACGCCACTGCACCCATCGGCGACCGGAGGTTTCAGCCGCCCGAAGCCCCGGGATCCTGGCAGGAGATTCGAAACGCCACCCAGTTTGCCCCTGTGTGCCCTCAGAACGTCCACGGTGTGCTCCCGGAGATTATGCTACCTGTGTGGTTCACAGACAACCTGGACGTGGCGGCGGGTTACATCCAGAACCAGAGCGAGGACTGCCTCTACCTCAATATCTACGTGCCCACGGAGGATGGTGAGTGGACGGTATTATATGAAGGGTTGGTGGAGGCTGGGAAATTAGGGATTTAGTGGGTAACAGCGAGAATAGTGAATAGATAATTGACTGTTCGCTAAGCCTTGTCCCCTTAGTTACTGTTGCTATGCCAGCTTTCTTCCCATTTCTAACCAGCGACCGTCGATTTTGTTGGCTGAAATGACAACTGCCAACTGGCAGATTTTCCGTTACTTTAATGAGTTGGTTGGAAATGACTGACTGACTTTAATGTTTCCAGCTGACTTATTCCGACATATCCCAGGCACCAACTCAGCATCCTCACCAGTTGATGATAGTGTTTTAAGTATAGGTTAAAATGTAAGATCAGACTTACAGTATATCATTCTCACAAGGTTATATTCATTCTTTATGTTTCGCATTTTCAAATAGTATGTTTCACTTTAAAAGTTCACAAAGGAAAGGCTTTCATAATGAGGACTAACCAATGTGTTTAGTGAATGTAACACTATCTCAGATCCAGGTTCGGGTTGGCTGGAGTTGCTGTAGTGTAATCCAATAGAGAGCAGGACAGAGCCGCTAACGTTAGCCTACACACCGGTATAATAGCATCCATGCTTTATTCATGAACAGGTCTTTTTTTTTTTATGTAACCTGTAACCCCACAAAATAATAAAAAAAGCTGCTGCCTGCTGATGCTATCATCAGTTGTTGTGCTAGTTAGCCAATTGGAGCTTATTTTAGAGCAGACAAACCTTACACTTGTTCTTGTATTTTTGGTTTTGGAGAAATAAACCACATTTCACAATCTTTATATACAGAACATTGCTCTTAATACAACCCTGCGTGTGCCGCCGCCACATAGGGAAAACATCCAAAGCTTGAAAGGCCCGCCGTGCTTCGTTGTGGTTCATAAGCTATGACTGGACAATCGCTTTTCAGGGGAGGGGTTTAGCGAACGGTCAATTAGAACCAGTCATAAGGGAGAGGAGCCTAGGGAAGTTCAATTAACGTGGAAAAATGTCTGGTAAACTGTGAATGTTTTTATTCTTTTCTAGGTTCATGCACGACTTTAAACACCATAAATATTGCATATGCTTCTTGTGGATAGTGAATATTACTTTTAGGATGGGGTGTGTGTGTGTGAGGGGACTGATATAAAAAAAGAAACAATATGCAAGATATTCCATGGAGGGTCAAAGAATTTTTCAATTACCCTTCCCTGGTTTTACAGTACATCCCATTCAAGGTGTTATAAAGCCAGAGAACAAAGGCCAGGACTGGAGCAGTTTCCAGGTGCTTTATAAGAAAAGGATTAGTTGACATTTGACTTTTCTTCCTTTTTTTACCATCAAGAACCCTCTTCTCTCATCTCAGATCTTTCTGCAGACGTTTTTGTCTGCCAGGGCACTATTAGGTGTGTTAGCAATAAAAGAGAAATATTTCCATTTTGTCTGCATGTGCGATACGAAGAGTAGAGACTTCCATCACCTCTCTCTCTCCTTGCTTAAGGTATATTGTAAGACGTGTTTCACATGTGTCTTTTCATTTTTGTATCTCTAATATAAGCTGCACAAAGGCAGAACTCTTCACAGAGAAAAAGGCTGTAAGAATCACGTTGCCGGGTTTCACACAAATGTTTTTTAACACACACTTGGTTTGACCTCAAACAACAGGAGGTCTTCAGAAAGCAACTTTTAAGAGGACTCTAACTAACACAATCTGTGTATTGCAGATAAAACTTTTTTCCTATAAAAAATATAGGCACATACGCAAATGCAAGTTTAAACAGAGATTCAACAACAAAAGAACACCCCGTCATGTTCTTTGATATCAATATCAGCGTGTGTGCCTTTATGTTTTTATTCATGTCTGTCTCACTGTCTATTTGTGCACATTGGTGTATGTGTCAGTATAGTGATGAGGCACTGATTTCTACTCTGAACTTTTTCTTCACTCTAAACATTTCGGTCTCCCTTTCAGCACTTGACTGGAGTTTTTTTTTTTTTTTTTTTTTAGCCCTTCACAGCTCAACACCCTTCCTTCTGCCTCTCCACTCCAACACTCCAACACTGCAGCCTCAGCCCTCAACAGCCCGTCATTGCCACTTATAGCTCCTCGGGCACATATAGAACACTATACATCAGGTCTTGAGTCATTTCACACTGTCACATGGCTTGTTTTATTTTTTCCCTGTTTTCCGAGATATACGACTTGGTGGAAATGCAAGTGCCGTAACACAGAGAGATATACACACACTCCCCGCCCACTCGCTTACACACTGTTCCATTGGTGTAAGGTGCACTTCTTCTGGAAATGTCACACAGGTGTAAAACATCTTCCAATAATGACCTTCATTCATCAACATGAAAAATCAGCATTACAGCCAACATCGTCCGCATTATACTTCACTGCATCAGTCAGAGTGTGAGCAGATGTTTGATGACAAACAGTGCACATACTGTATAATTGGGATAAATGAGTAATATTCATTTATTGTTAAAAAAAAACCTTTATTGGCAACATATGAACATCATCAATATATAGTATATTTATGGTGATCAAGTCAGGCATGACATTGCTAGCCTCAGCACTTCTCCAACAGCCCCCAGGGTTGTCTTTCTCTTTGCTCCTGCTTTCCTCTGCTTCTCCTCCTGCATTGATTTTAAGTCACTTTTTACATGTGCTGCTGGGGAGGGAGGGGATGAGAAGAGACGAGAGGAAGCAAGAAAAGCAGACGGTAGAATGCAAGAAAAGGAAGGAAGAGGAGAAGGCTTTTGGGCAAGTAGATCAAAAATCAGCCCCAACTTGCTGTCCGTGGGGACTGTCAGCTCAACTCATTGTCACAAAACACAGCGCAAGTTGAATACGCTCACATGGTAACACACGTACACACTCATCCTCTCCCATCTTCTCTTGCCTTGTCGTTGATTCCACTTCTTTTCTTCTAACATGAATGCTACATCTCCCGGAGTCTCCCGAGGCCTCTTACTTGTATGCTTTTTTTAGGGCACCCTTAAGACAGAATCCTTAAAAACCTCCTCTAATTTTAAGTGGATTAAGCCTCCAGAATTACTTCTTAATGCTGCCATCAGTGAAAATGGAGGAAAGTGGGACACTGACATGGATGTGTGTGTTTGTTCATAGATAAACAAATACGCGAACAGTTGGTGGTTACTCATGGCTTCTTAATTAATACTTAAGTACTTAGTAAATTGCAAAGCTAGCCATGTGTTGTCTTTTTTTCCATTAGTTCCTTGGCACTCAAGAATAAATATGTTTCTGAATTTGTAATACTGTATGAACAAACCACAAAAGGGGACCAAACTAATCACCTTAGAGTAATGATACAAAATTACATTTGTTACTATGCGATTAACAGAAGCTTAATCTAATATGCAAATGAGGATTTTAGTGCTTTTAGATTTTATTACTTTCAGTATATGAATATTTTAGAGCCTTGAATATTTCTTGATTCTTTCTTCATCAATCTTAAGTTTAACATTGTTCTCAACACACTTACTGATTCATTATTTATACATTGTTATAAAAAAAAGACAGATTGTAAAAATAAATACAAATACATAATATACATTACTCTTTCACCTAACAAGTTCTATAAATATTAAGTAGTTCTGTTATGTTACTACATGAATTCAAAAAGGATGGTCCTGGTTTTTATTAGTAACTCTATAAGAATGAATTGATGGTCATTGGAATACCATTAATGTAAAGTGTTTGCTATATACCCAGCTTGTTTCGTGGTTCCTTTGGTAGTGTAAGTATATCAGGCCCTAGGACCCAGGGGAACTGGTTTTGCCCTCCGGCAGGTTGCTCCATCACCAAATTCAGGGAGGGAGGGGCTCCATCGGTTCCCCTGGAGATGACATCCCATAAATCATAGCGAGAGGTTTTCATCTGGCTCCTGCAGAGTCACGGTGGATCGATGGACGAGGGGAAGGGAGGGAAGGACCGGCTGCTGCTGCTGCTGCTGCTGCTGCCTCAGGCCCGCAGACAAACCGCATGCTTCTCTCAGCAGTCAGCAGCCGTTAACACAGAGCAAGACTTCATGGTTAATATGTCGGAGTAGATGGACTCAGCAGCCCCAGAATGGAAACTCACTGTGAATGTTTGCCAACATATAGGATCTCATATCGCTGTGCTTTGTGCAGTTAGTCAGAGGGAATAGAAGTGATGGAGAAACCATTGCTTTGATGTTAGCAGATGTTTTTTACACCGGCTGCATAGTAGGCCTACCTACACCAGCCATTCAGCGTCTTCACCGGCTATGTAGTATCTTCACCGGCGGTATAGTGTCTTTACTGGCTGTGTAGCATCTTCACCAGCTATGTAGTGTCTTCTACTTTATCGGCTGTGCAGCATCTACACCAACCATGTAGTGTCTTCACCAGCTGTCTAGCATCTACACCAGCCTCATAGCGTCTTAACCGGCTGTGTAGCGCCTTTACCAACTATGTGGGGCCGTTACTGGGTGTGTTGTATCTTATGGAACCAGTCATGCTTTACCTAAAGCTTCAGCTCTTTACGTTTAAAATCTTTTCATTGTATTAGTATTGTGGACAGTAGACAGTGACATTATTAAGAATGTCTGGATGGACTGGTCTCTGATTCTTCTGCTTCTATCAACTCCTATCCAATCGCACATCCATACACCCCCCACACACACATTCCCACATTACTTGTGCTTCCGCTCTTTACGCTCACAGCTGTGACCCCCACTTGTGCGTGTAAATACTTGTTTTAACACCCCCTCGGCCAGTGATTTTACTTCTTTATCAGGTCAGTAGACTGATATCATTAATATCAGTGTGTTTGTGCCTTTATGTGTATATTTATTTATGTATCTCTTACATGATGATGCACTGATTTCCAGCCTTTTTTCTCTCTGACACATTTTGGTCTGCTTTTCAGCACTTCCATCACTTGACTTGACTTTTTTTCCCCCTCACAGCTCAACACACTTCCTTCTGCCTCTCCACTCCAACACTCCAACACTGCAG